CCCTCGTCCTCCCCTCCCACCCCTCCCCCTCTCCTCTCCTCCCCCTCCTCCTTCATTGACAGCAGCAGCTGCATCATCATGATCATCATGATCATGGAGCTACAATACCACCCCCAAAACCTCTCAAACCCTAAACCCTGAAACCCTAAACCCCAAGCCCTAAGCCCTGAGCCCTCAACAAATCCTAGACGCCCTAACGTCTCTGAGTCGCGGGCACAGAGAGCCCGGGTGCAACTTCAGCCTCGGCTTCTCTCTTGCAGGTGGAGAGTTGACATTTTCGGCTCTTAGGGCTTTTGGGGAGTTTTTGGGGGGTTTAGGGTTTAGGGTTTAGGGGTTTTTAGGGGGTTTGTCAGGTCTCCAGGTCCGTGAGAGGCTTGCGGACTTTAGGCTTCAGGGCTTCTCGGGCTTAGGGCTTCTAAGCAGAAGCTCCTTCGCCTCTCAGGGGCTCTAGGGGATAGGATTAGGGGGACCCTTGGGGATATAGACCCTCTGAATCAGGTCCCTGTTTAAGAGAGCCAGAAGAGGGTTAAAGAAGGGTCCCCTTTTGAAGGGTCCCCTTATCCTACCTAGGAAGCTCAGTGCGAAGGTAGCAAGAAGACTCAGCAGAACAGCAGAAAAGACAGCAGCACGCTCGTGCTGTGTACGATGCCTTCGCATCACCTCAAGCCCAAACCCTTAACTGGGAAGGCCCTGGGGGTATCTAACATTTTCCCTGTTGCGGGTTTTATAGGATCCTATTCAGAAATAATTTTCAAACGGTTTCTTTGCGTTTCGGGTTTGGGATTTAGGGTTTATCCATGGGAAAAAGTAGCAGGGGGGGCTCGCAGAAGCTCATGAGCCCTTTGAAGCGTGCGCGCCTTGCGTGGAAGCCAACCCAAATCCCAGGGCTTTGGATCACTGAACTTGGTAAGTTCGAAGGGCTTCGAGTCCTAAGCCCCAGTTCGGTCACTCCCCTTCCCTGTCCGTCACCCCCCTCCCCTAACCCGAAACCCTAAACCAGAGACTCGCCCCTTCTGTCCGATAAGGAAGCCGGAGCTTCATTTGAGGGGAGTACCCACCACCCTGAAGAATGCCCACAACTGGGGTTCAGGGTCCCCTCTAGACCCCTTAGCCCTGACCCTCGCGCTGTGAGCTTTAAACCCCGAAACCCTAAACCTGATAAACTCTAAACCCTAAACCCGAAACCCGAAACCCTAAACCTAAACCCTAAACCCTAAACCCTAAACCCTAAACCCTAAACCCTAAACCCTAAACCGGAAGAGTTTGGGAGGCGATCTGGGGAGTCAGCTGCTCCGAGCCCGCGGACAGGAGAGGAAACTTGTCGGTGGCCGACTGCAGGATTTAGGGTTTAGGGTTTAGGGTTTAGGGTTTAGGGCTTGGGGTTTGGGGTTTAGGGTTTAGGGGTTAGGGTTAGGGTTTAGGGCTTGGGGTTTGGGGTTTGGGGTTTAGGGTTTAGATGTTGGGGTTTGGGGTTTTCGGTTTCGGGTTTACGGCTTGGGGTTTGAGGTTTAGGGTTTAGGGCTTTTAGTTTAGGGCTTCGGTGCCAAGAAGATTACTGCGAAGCTGCAAATCGACTCCGATCGCAGGCTTCGGGAAGTACTGCGATGATGGGGCTTCCCCTTCAGAGTTTAGGGTTTAGGGTTTAGGGTGCACGGTTGAGGGCAAGGACTTCACCCTCGCAGGGTTGCTAAGCCACACCCCACAACCTGCGTTCAGGATTCATGGTTCAGCGGGCCCTAAACCCCCCTAAAACCCCCCCAAAAAAACCCTAAAACCCCGTAAAACAACCTAATTTTTTGGGTTTTTTGTAGAACCCCCTAAACCCCCTAAACCCCTAAGCCCCCTAAGCCCCCTAAACCCCCTAAGCCCCCTAAACCCTCTAAACCCCCTAAGCCCCCTAAACCCCCTAAACCCCCCTAACCCCCCCCTAAACCCCCTAAACCCTAAACCCTAAACCCTAAACCCTATAAACCCTAAACCCTAAACCCGAAACCCCAAGTCAGCTCACGTCTCTTCCGCCTTGGGCGGGTCGAGGCGCGCCACGTTGGGGTAAAGCCCAGCGAGGAGCAGCGCCGAGATCATCTGAACCGAAGTGAGGTCCTGCATGTGGGAGTTGGGGCTTAGGGTTTAGGGTTTAGGGTTTAGGGTTTAGGGTTTAGGGTTTAGGGTTTAGGGTGTTGGGCTTCAGGGGTTGCGCGTAGGGGCTTCAGGGACTCTAGGAGCTTCAGGGGTCTTGGGGGCTTAGGGTTTAGGGGTTTAGGGTTTAGGGTTTAGGGTTTAGGGGTTGGGGGTTTGGGGGTTTCGGGTGTAGGGGTTTTGCGATTCAGGGCTAAGGGTGAGTTCTAGGTTTCACGAGTTTCAGGAACGTAGAACTCTCAACCCCTAAAGCCGACACCCCTGTCCGACAGCCTAGCAAGCAGGTCTCTTCACAAAAGTCGTGAAAAAAAAGGGCATTCGTTGATTCAATCTTCGACGGGGGGAGGGGTTCGTGAGGTCGATGTGTGACAGATGCTCCATGAAAGCCCACAGGCTCAGCTGAGATGTGAGTGCCCTTGAGTAACTTGAGTGTTTCGGGTTTGGGCTGTTCATGTAGGGGTTTAGGGGTTGCTTAGGCACTCTACAGTGAGGGCTGGCTAGGGTTGATGTCTGGTTGCGGGGGGGGAGGGGGCAGGGTTTGGGCACGCGGTCATTTGGACACCACCCTACACCCTACACCCGAAACCCTAAACCCTTTTCCCCAAACTGTAAACCCTAAACCCTAAACCCCTAAACCCCTGAACCCTGAACCCTGAACCCGAAACCCTAACCCGAGCTCAGACGGGAACGCCTGCTTCGGAATTTCGGACTGCGAGAAAGTCTGGACGAAGCCGTCGCCTGGCAAAAGTGGGGTTGGCGGCTTATTGGCGCTATAAGGTGTATGGTCTAGGAATTAGTTTTTTTTGTGGGGTGGGGGAGGGGGAGGGGGGAGAACCTGGGAAACCTTGAACCACGCTCACACCCAAGCCGCAAGACCCCGAACCGTGTACACTAAAACCCACACCGGCCCGCAGCCCTGAAAGGCTGTGCACCTCAAGGCCCTGGGGTATCGCACCTGCCACAACTTATGTTCCAGGACTCCAGGACTGTTAGTATAAGGGGAAACATCCCAAGCCACGATGCCCGGGACTCTGACCCTAACAAATCTTATGCATCTTTGCATTGCACGAAAGCTCTAATCAAACCACTGAATCCCTCTTCCCAAAGCCCCGAAAGAGGCCCCACCCCTAAACCCCTAAACGCCGAATCCCTTGGAGCCCTAAGCCCCTAAACCCCTGAACCCACAAACCCTAAACCCCTAAACCCGAAACCCTAAACCCCTATATAACCCTAACACCCTAACACCCTAACCCCTAACCCTAAATCCTGACCCTAAATCCTAAACCCTAAGACCTAACCCTAAACCCTAAATCCTAAACCCTAAACCCTAAACCCTAAACTCTGGACATAAAGGCTCCCAGAGGACCCCTGCCTCGCAAGGACTCCAGGAAGTCATTGCCTCGGTCCGGTTTGGGGTAGGGTTTAGGGTTTAATGTTGACTTCACATTAGGAATTCCCGCTACAATTATAAAATCCAGCTGCCGGAACACAATAATGTAACCCCCCACAATTATAAAATCCAGCCCGGAATATTTTTTTACGGGCGTGGTGCTACTACCTAATACTAAAACTAATAGTACGTCCTACCAGGATTTAGGCGAATATAATTGAGGAGGCCCTGGCCGGAGAGATTGATCAATCAAGCGGGGGGGGGTTTATTAATGCGAAGTCAACATTAGGGTTTAGGGTTGAGGGTTGAGGGTTTAGGGTTTAGGGGTTAAGGGTTTAGGGTTTAGGGTTTAGGGTTTAGGGTTTAGGGTTTAGGGTTTAGGGTTTAGGGCGTGCCAAACGGAAGCGCGCTTTGGGAGCGCGCGGTAGTCTGCAGACCTGCCCACCCCAAGACGGCCCACTTTTACTTTTTTCCAAAGCATCACATGAGGGCCAGGGCCACAGGGCGGGGCCAGGACCAGGGGCCAGACGGGGGTCACGGGTCCAGGGGCCCTCTCCCAGGGCGCCTCCAATGCAGGACCCAAAAACGGGCGCGGACGGCTTGGCGTTTGGGGTAACATAATACTCTCTCTCTCTCTGCCTCGCTCTCGCTCTCTCTCTATCTCGCTCTCTCTCTCGCTCTCTCTTGCGTTCTCTCTTTCTTTCTGCGCACTTACGGTCTCTCTCACTCTCTCGCTCTCGCGCTCGCTCTCGCTCTCTCTCCCTCCCGGGCGCCGGCGTATGTCGCGGATTGTTTGCAGAACCTGCGCTGGCAGGCAAAGCCACAGGCCATGTAACGCCCAGCGTCAGAGCCTGCGTTTTGGGGTTGAGGATTCTGAAGACCAGCCTGACTCAATAAATGGAACTTAAGTGTAGTGCCAGGCCCCACGTCGGAACAGACACCCTCAGCCCAATACCCCGAAACTAAACCCTAAGACCCCAAACCTGAACCAAACCTACTGCAGGTTGTGTCCCGGCTCTCTCGGGTGTTGAACCCCATTTGATGGCAGCCATAGCGACAAACCGGTCCAGCTTTCTAAAGGCGGTTATATGGTCCCTTCATGTGGTCCCTTACCTTCTTAGAGGGTTTCTGAAGTGTGGGCAGTCGAATGCTTTTGGGTGTATGAGGGGGTAGACAAGGGGTCACTATTTAAGGGACCACAAGAAGGAACCATGTAACTACCCTAAGAAGCTTTCGGGTGTGTACGCATGTGTTTTTGTTGAGGGGTTTTACGCTCTAAGGCCCCCTCTTGAACCATTACAAGAACATTCAAGTACGCCCAATGTCTTTCTATGAAGAGCCCATACGGTAACAAGCCTTCCTAGGAGACTACTGTAAAGCCTGAAACCCTAAGACCCCAAACCCTTAAACCTAAAACCCCTAAAATCCTAAATCTCCTAACCACAAATCCTTCAAACCCAAAACCCTACAACCCTCAACCCGCTGCCTGGTTGTTCAGCCAGTTCTTTCTGCAGAAGCTCTCGACACCCTCAGATTAGGATTGCGGGGTGCTTCGAGGTGATAGGAAAGGAAGTTGGGGGATTCGGGTTCAGGTTCAGCTCAGGGAGATTGCTCATCATAGCTCAGGGTTTAGAGCTCTATGGCCATGGCTTACGCGGGAAGGGCAATTGCGTGTTCATGGTTCAGGGTGCAAGGCTTGAGTGCGAAGCGAAGATTTATGGGGCTTCGAGACTTAGGGTGCCAAGATGCCCAGAAACACAAATTTAGGGTTTAGGGTTTAGGGTTGGCATGTTTAGTCTTTGGGTTTAGGAATGTCTCTCGGGGAGCCGAGACGGTGATTCGCATCAGTCTTTCGGTGTGACCTCCTGCTCGTTCTCTTTCCTACAACTACGTCTAGGCTTTTGTTCAAGGCGTTAGGGTTTAGGGGTTGCATGGGGTTTAAGCCAACCCGTAACATGTAGGGAACTGGGATGCTACTGGGCCCCGAAGCCCTAAACCCTGAGTCCTACTCCAAACAAAAACTCAAAACCCCAAGGCCCAAATGCCGTCCAACTGCAAAGCAGACAAAGGCGCTGGGAGTTTACAAGTTCGCTCGGTCCCTAAACCCGAGACCCTTCGTCCTAAACCCCAAGCCCTAAACCCTAAACCCTAAACCCCAAGCCCTAAACCCTAAACCCTGAAAATTATGGGCTTAGCGCACTGTGTGAGGTTGGAGGAGACCCGGGTGCCCTCCGCTTTTTGGCGACCCCTGGTTGCGCCCAGCTGCCGGCCATGCGGCAACCCTAAACCCTAAACCCTAAACCTTAAGCCCTTAAAAAAACCATAAACCCGAAAAAAAACCTAAACCCGAAACCCTAAGCCCTAAACCCTGCCTAAACCCTAAACCCTCAACCCTCAACCCTCAACCCTAAGCCCTAAACCCTAAACCCTACACGCGCTAAGCACAAAAACTTAAACCCTACAGGACTTACGGCTTTAGAAAAGAAACCTCAAACAAATTTCCTCAACTTAGGCCTAGCACTAGTAACTGTAGGTAGTAGCCTAGGCCGAGTTTGTTGAGGTGTAGGCTTTATGGTTTAGGGTTTAGGGTTCCAACGGCCTACCCCTAAAACCCTAAACCCTAAACCCTAAATTCAGAGTGGCTGTACAGGCAAACGCTGAAACCTTAAATCCGCCTGACTCACGGGCACCAGAGGCTCTCTCCCTCGTAGCCACCGCTTTTTGTGGCGACTTCTCTCAACCCTATAAGACCCAAACCCTAAACCCTAAACCCTAAACCCTAAAACCCTAAAACCCTAAACCCTAAACCCTAAAAAGACCTCGAGGGCTCTAAAATCTCCGCCTCTGGCGCGCCAAGGTCTTCGGACCAAGAGCCGGCGAAACGCGCGAGCTGCGGGGCAATTCCCCCAAAGAGGGTTGAGGGTTTGTAGGTTGTAGGGCTTGGGGCTTGGGGCTTGGGGCTTATAGGGCTTAGGCCCTAAGGTTGCGGGTTTAGGGTTTAGGGTTTAAGGTTTACGATCTAGGGCTTAGGGTTGAGGGGTTGTAGGGTTTGTAGGGTTTTTAGGGTTTAGGGAGCTTAGGCGGGGTTTATGGGGCTTGCAGGGTTTTTTAGGGTTTATAGACATTATAGGGGTTTATGGGGTGGAGGGTTCATGTGAAGCACAGTAGAAGTGTTCGTACTGTTGATGTCCTTTCTCATGAGTATGTTTTCGAATAGTTGTGTGACTATCATCTCCCGAAGGGTTTGCTGTCCCAACCCCTCTTTTGCGAAGGTCTACGACCGAAGGCATCGTGCTCGAAGCTTGGAAAACCAGATGCTCTGGAGCCAAGCTCACTGGGAACAGGCGTGGCAGCCCGTAGGGTGGGGTTTCTTCTTTCGGTTGACCTTTGTGGTTGGTGACATCAGTAGGGGTGTTGGGTTCCTTACTGGTTTGACTTATAGTTTCATATTGGTAGCGGAGCCTAGTTGCTCTTTAGTTAGTGGTGGTTTCAGGGTCGTAGTTTGCTTTGCTGCGTAGTGAGCCCATTGCCATGTCGAGAGATGGTGAGCTGGGTGGCGAGCACCCAGAGATGCAGGATGGAAGCCTCGATGGCTTCTCGAATCATGAGCCCCAGACGACCGGCGACCCTACAGCGGAGTCCGATAGAAGCCGAGAATATGATGAGCAAGCCGGCCAACACATTCCCCCGAGCCATGGGGAAGCTCGGCCATGGGCTGAAGACCGTCAAGGAAGTTGGTCTGAGTCTGGGTCCGGGCATTGGGAAGACCGCTATCATGGCGATAGTGGGTGGCATCGGGGAAGCTGGGCCACAGGGAGCACCGGCACGGACGCCAAAGCAGGGGCCCGGGGAGAAGATCCGTGGGGCTCGTGGTGGAATGATCCCTGGCACGTTCGACAGCACGATGACAGAGGCCCGGATGGTCGAGATCGAAGGCAACCAGCCCGTGAGTCTCGTCCTGAACCTGATTCGGGAAGATATTGGCAAGCTCCCTGGGCAGATGGTCGAGATAAGGTTTCGCCTTTTGACGATTCAGCGCCTCATGGAGGGGGACTGGACCATAAGGGGGTCGTGATGACCAGTTGCAGAAGAAGCCAAGACGGATCGCATAGCTGGGCCTGGGATGGTTGGAAACATTTCGGAGATGTCGGAGGGGGCTACCGGACTGGAGGCGAGAACAGCTCTTTCTCCGAGCGCGCTTCCGGCCCTCGTCCCTCCGAGAAGTTGGCCATTCCCACCTTCGCCGGCGAAGGCGACGAGGATGTGGGCACTTCGGCCCGCTCCTACCTGAGGATGGTGGAGGCTTGGCGGCGCATGACAAGGCTACCATCTGAACAACAAGGACTCGTTCTGTACCAAAGCCTGACTGGGAAGGCCTGGGTCGCCGCTGAAGAGCTGAACGTCGACATCTTGGGGTCAAAGGAAGGGGTCCCGTATCTGATATCGTGGATATCTAGTCGCTACCTCGACCTCGAGATCACGCGCATCGGCAAGGCCTTCTCCGAGTTCTTTCGCAAGCTCAGGCGTCGCCCCGGGCAATCCATCAGGGACTACAACAGCGAGTACGACCGACTCTATGCCAGGCTGAGGGAGGTCGGGTGCTCGCTTCCTGAGGATTGTGCTGCATGGCTGTACGTGGACCGCCTCCAACTCGACGAGTCCTCAGAGCTGAACTTGTTGGCGAGCGTCGGGAACAAGTACTCGTTGGGCCGGCTGCAGCAGGCTGCGGTGATACAGGACCGGGGCCTTCGCAAGCCTTGGGAGAGTGGAAAGCCTCGTAAACCTCACGTGGCACACGTCACCGACATGTTCGACGAGGGCGACCTTGACAGCGAGGGGGACGAGCTACTCCAGGAAGGATTCCCTGAGGAGGTCGCGACCGCCTATGTGGCTTTCCAGTCCGCTAAGAACCGCTACAAGGAGCAGGTCAAGAGCCGTGGGTTTGTGCAGAATGGACAGGATGGCCCTGACAAGACGAAAGCCCCTCGGGATGATAAGCGCGCAGCCCAGATCAAGAACATGAAAGCCAAGTCGTTCTGCGCCGGTTGTCATCAACGAGGGCACTGGCACCGAGATCCGGAGTGCCCTAACAATCGTCAGGGCGGGCCGGCCACCGTCAAGGAAGTGGACATGTGCACCATGATGCCCCAGGAGGTCTTCGCTGTTCGGCATGCTGGCAATCTCCTCCTCGGGATAGCAGACACCGCTTGCGCGCGTACGGTTGCTGGCACCCAGTGGCTCCAGGACTACTCCAACTACCTGGCGAAGCTTGGCGCTGAGCCCCAGCTGCACAAAGAGTGTGAGGCCTACCGCTTTGGCACCGGGCGGATCTACTACTCGACCTTCTACGTGATCCTCTCGTTCGAGCTCGGCGGCAAGATCATCCAAGTTCGCACGTCAATCATCAACGGGGACATCCCGCTTTTGCTCTCGAAGGCGGTCCTCGGCAAGCTGGGGATGATCTACGATGTGGAGAACGGGCGAGCGAGCTTCACAAAGATCGGGGTCCAGGACTATGCTATGCTCGCAACCCCTTCCGGACACCCCGCGATTGCCATCGTCCCAGCTGTGCCTCCGGGTGGTAGCTTCTCTGACTTGCAGATCGAAGACCTGCGTTTTCAGGCGAGAGGGGAATACACGGTCTTTGCGCTTGCTCACCATAGCCTTCGTACCTCCCACAACCCTTCGTTCTACAATCTGTTCCACGACAAGAAGCTAGACCCCGGAATCAAGAACATGCTCGTGCATGGTCGTTTCGATCACTCTCTCTTCATGACGTGGTGGGAGAAGACTTCCATTTCCGGGGACTTCTGGGTAGAAGGGGAGGACACTTGGGTCAGGGTGCACTGTACTCCCCGGCGGGCTTTCTTTAATCCTTCTACATGGCGTACCAGCTCAACGGTTCTGAAGGACATGTTGCTCGCATGCACTGCCGAGATTCGTACCACAGAGGGAGTATGCTGCAGCTCAGGGCGATACATCGAGAGTGTAGTCGACCGTTGGAGCTCTGGGTGCACTTCTGAGCCTTCACTGCCGCTGTTGTGGATCGGAAGGAGTGTCTTTCCGAAGACAAAGCCCTCATTCCCGCCTACCTCCGAACCTCCGTGACATGAGTCGCCAGGAGCCATGCACCCCCACGGCATTGTCAAAGACGACCAAGGCGCAGCTGATCAGCGAGGCGATGAGAGTCGGGGCCATTGTCCACCGCAATTGGGCCACGGAGGAGATCAAGGCGGTGTTGGTGGAGTACCGTGCAGCCCGCAAAGAAGCCGATCCCAGCGAGAAGATGAAGAGGCTCGCTCACCTCTCACTCCCCGAGCTGAAGATGAAGGCGGACGAGCTCAGAGTGGGGTACGGGCCGAATGTGACGAAAGGAAACCTTCTGAGGATGATCCGGGAGAGCGTCAACACTCCGGACCAAGAGTTGATGAAGGTGGGACAGTATCGAGGATACGAGTTCCGGGAGGTGCCGGAGCCTTATGCGAGGTGGGCGAGCGAAGAACTGAAGAAAGCGAAGTCCATGGACCC